ATATTGGTTTTTAATTGGTCAGTGTATAAGAGAGAGAGACATTGCAACATGCTCGAAATCGAAAAAAGTATTCGGAAAGCAACACCTCCCCCCTCCCCCACCCCACACCCCCTTTTGCCCCTTTTCATCGATGTTAAAATCTTCAAGCTATCTCGATTACTTTACGACACTGTTGGGACCTATATGATTTATAATAATACTATTAAACAAAGGGACTGCCTCACTCAAAAATCTCAAAAAATAATCATTTAAGTCCCATCAGAAACAGTGAGGAATTTTTTTTAAGGATTCTTTTTACTTTTAGTTTTATCATATTAATTACAGGTGGTGCATCAACATCCGCTTATCAAACCCCAAACAAGACAATAATAAAGTCTACATTGATTGACAAAGCAAGCAGAAAACATGCAATTCGACGGGTCAAAGATTTTAGAAACTGCACTTATATGCCATGGTGTCTTTTGAATTATAATATCATTAAAAGAAACCAAAGGGTTATGAGTCGTCACAGACTTGTATCAGTATCCAGAACTGTGCCTCGAATTTGACATAATGCCTGTTCACTATGGAGCGCACGATTTGACATAATGTGGAACTACATGAAGGATACGGTTGCTACAAAGAGATGGGCTGCTATGGCACAATGAGGCAAATTTAGCTTACATGAAGACAAGTTCGCACCACGGTGCGCACTCCTCGTTCAATAAACTCTGTGTGTGAGCAATTGCATGCCCTTTTCATGGTGAACTGAACTGTCGAAGAAAACCTGCTAAACGTGCTCGGCAAAGCGTGCTGTGCTTGATGCGATCAAGGATCTGTGGCTAGGCTCCAGTCTAAGACAGCCTAGACCTGTAGCTATAATACAGCATGCACTCAGGGTGGTCTGCTTAACTTACCTGCTCTCCCCCCGCACTGTCTGGTAGCCGGTGGTCCGTCTGGGGTCACCACCAGACCAGAATGTTCAGAACTCCACACACCGATGGACGAGTTTCATGGTTCTTCGTGGCAGTAGGTGATCGCAGGAGGTGATCGTAAAGTTTTCGTCAAGTTCACAAAATAAAAACCCGCTTCGACTACTCCTGCATTTTCTCAAAAGTCACCTATTTATAGCCTAAGCCAGGCGTCTACCTAGAGACCTCTGTCGACGAGAGATTTTATTACGGCACCTGTGGATAAGTCAACTGTGAATCAAGCAACAGTCCCCTTTTTAAACAGCGGGTTAAAATTTATTGTGAGAAAAAAATATCCCAATTTTCTTAGGAGTATTTTCCCCTTAACAGTTTTCTTCTCTTTCTGTAGGTATTTTATTAATCAAACCTGGAATGTTTCAAGAGATTACAGAAAAAAAGAAATTCCAGAAAGGAAATGATTTTTTTTTCAGTTTCCTAACTTAGTGAGGTTTTGAAGTCCAGTGTTTGAGTGGTGGGTAATGAGGCAAGATAGAAGAAGATTTTAATTTTTTAACTTCTTGAGTTTTTTACGTAAGAGCAGGAGGCAACGGAGAGAGCACTTCTGGTATAGAGTAGGAGGGATTGGCATGAAGAGAGGCGGAGGGGGATACTGAAACGAGGAAATGGGCCAGTCATTGCTTAACTGTTGATACGTTTTAACAAATTACGTAAAAGGATGTTTGTTTTCTTTGTTTGTATGTTCGTCTGTTTGTTTGTTAGTTTTGACAAATTGCGTTGAATATGTTTACTATCAGGAAAAATATTGAAAATCGATTGGAATTACCATAGTAAATAGAAATATTGTCGACTAAATGGTATGCTGATTCAAATATTATGGAGAAATCTTCCTCTGACTTTTAAACAGAAAGTCTAAGGCAGGTGAGCTCCGGACATGAAAATATTTCCCCAAACACCCAAAGTTTCTTCAGGTCCCATCCTAGGAGTTGCTATTTAAAGCCATTCTCTGGTCCGCAGCTGCCATAGTTCAAGAGATATTTCTGCTGACCTTTCTTATGGGAAGTTTGGAAGAAGTGAGGTCAAACGTGCTGACCTTAGAGGCTTGGTGCTTCTCCGTGTTTGGGTAGGATCTGCCGGACCACGATATGATGGGGGTTGAGTTCGGGTTCGCTTCTCTAAAGCTTGGTAAAGCTTATGGTTTCAAACGGCTGGTCAAAACGGTGTTATTAATTCTGATTTTACTGGGTTTTTTAATACTAAGAAACGTATCTGAAAGTACCTTATACTTTGTTGTCAAAATTTGTGTTTGTAGTTTAGGCTTCATGCAGTATGTATGCAAACAAGTTAACAAAATACTAACCCAGTGTGCAGTTTATGAATCTAAAGTAGACAGTCCCAAAATGCAAGCCTCTTCCATCTCAGCAACTTCTTGTATAGCATTAACAAAATCAAATACGCTCACAATTGAGTGTGAACGTTCTCACACAGACATAATATACACACATATACACACAGACAGACACAGAGAGAGAGAGAGAGAGATAGAGAGAGAGAGAGAGAGAGAGAGACAGAGAGAGAGAGAGAGAGAGAGAGACCTCTTCTCTCCCGCCCGGTCATCCATTCCTCAGTTTACCTCCCGTGTTGTTGCATTAGTGTTGCCATCGCTCACAGCGGCAGATCATAATTTTCCAGTTAACGAACGTCTTTCTGTAGTCAATCAACTCTAACCCAGAGAGACAAATTTCTCTTAACGAGACTCGATAGACTCAATAACGCTTCCACTTCCACTCAGCAGGAAATAGCTGTGAAGAGTTGTTGTTTTTTTAAAGCGCCTCTGTTTTTACTGCTGTCCTGGCTTCTACTTTCCAACCACACCTGAGTGGAGTGGTGGTTCTTGCTAACTTCCAGAACTCTCCATCTCGCCGGGAGCTAGCCACAGTCCAGACACGCGACGTCATATCCTGTTGCTCACTGGACACATGATGGCCGATCGTATGGACATTGTCAGTCAAAACCGCGCTTGACAGGCAATGGTCTGAAACCTTTCAAAATACATTTGATGACGATCTGTCTGCGCTCTGCTTGCATAAGCCCTCCGCTAATTGGCTAATTGGACAAAGGGGAGATGGGAGAGGTAAGCATGCTGGGCCAAGGGAGAGCACCCGTGGATAAACACATTCCAGGGTTATGCCGCTCGACGGGAATTCTCGCGCTTCTGCCAGGCGCTGTGCTTACCTGAGAGATGTGTGTAGGTAGAGTGTATAGCTTGCGAGAGGCAGACGTGAGTGAGTACGACCCAGGAGGGGCTCAGGGAGCGAGCCAGGCGAGTTTGATCCGAAATGTATTGCTAGTGTTTCAGTGTTTACCTAGCCGAAATTTAGGTCAATGTTTTCGGAATGTACCGAGAACGCCCAGCAAAATGTCAAAAACGACAGAGCGTTGCTGTTCTCTTTCCGCTCCCACCCCCGACCCCCAAACTCTCAGCTCTCGTACCTCGGATTCTGATAAGTTGGGGGCGCGCAGACAGAGAACGAACGCCCGTGATAAAATGTGAGTCGTAATGGTCATGATCTCGACTCATCAGCGATACAGAGCTAAGGGCGCTCGTATCGTCTGTACATCACACAGGGCCTGACATAGAGAGAGGAGGAGATGGCGAACAGCTGACGGGCGGGGAGGAGAAGCTAGAAGAAGGAAGAGAGCGGAGGGGTTAGGTGAAATGAGAGAGAGAGGGAGGGAGAAAGATTAGAAAATGGAAAGAGGGATATTCAAGCGATTTGAAAGAGGAGAGGTATGGGGAGAAGGGGAAGGCGGAAAGAATATGAGAGAAAAGAGGTGGTGGAGGAGATGAAAATCAAGGAGAAACAAGGAAGCGATGGGCAAAGGGAAAGAAGCAAGAAAAAGTGAGTTAATAAGAGAAAAAAAAATAAGGGCAAGTATTGAGAAGTAAAGACGTACTGACGCATTCAGTCAAAAATGTAATAAGTTCGGGATAATCCTCTTCAAGCTCAATACGAAAGGAATTGCAAAAACCGTGAACTGACCGATTAAGGATTGGAACAAACAGCTCTTCGGTGGTAGTTTGTTTAGCAGTACGCAGGCGGCTGAAGCATTTGTAAAGGCACTCAAGTAGACGGGTTGCTGGTAATAGAAGTTAAAGATGACAAAGTAAATGGATAACACGGATACACCTGATAGATATTAAATGTACGCTAAAGCTATACAAATAGGTCGAACCCAACTGACGCCCACGCTATTGTACCCCTGTTATATGCATACTCAATAAATACACGCACATTTAAAATATTAAAGCCAAAAAAAGACAAAGAGAGACTCCAGCACGCTGAACCCGCTCTTACTTAGTATTTTAAAACATAGCTACGTCCCCTAAAAAAACCCAATATTTCATACATATTTCAAAACCTTCTCCCGCGCCCAGCAATTTCATTCACCCTAATCCAGGCAAGACAGATTAAATGATAGGGCTTTGTGTACCGAATTTTTCATCCCTGAGCTGAGCCCCCACAGAGGAACGCTTACTACATGTACTCTCTTCTCCTCTTTCATAAATGTCAGGATGCTTAGAGGCCACCAGCGATAGCGAAAAACTTGCAGGATGAACGGCTGAAATCACAAAAAATAATCCCCAGAAAACATCCGTTAGCCCAGATAGCAGTCGGCTTCTTCTGGGAGCACAGGGAGGGGGCGTGGCCACGGAAGTGACGCACACTGAGAAGACACTCAAAACAATTTCGCGGTACTCTTTGGAGCTATTATGTCATATCTTGATCCAAACTGCATTATCAATACGAATCTTCAGTATTTAGTAAGCTGGCAGATCCACTATGATATCCGTGTCTTTTGATGTGTGTGTTGGTTGGGGTTTTGTTTTTTATGCAGTCTTTCCCATGTTTCTATCGTATGCTTAATTGTATTCGGAACTTTCAAGGGGCGTAAAGGGAAAAGGAGGAGTGGGGCAGCGGGGGGAGGGGGGGGTGGTGGTGGCACCCCGTTGTCAAATTTATTACCATTAAGATAAGTGTTATATTTTATTATCTTTTCTCCTGAATTTAATTTGCTTTTTGTCTCCAGGTAAGCCAGCTCACTATACCAGAGTCGCTGTTGAGGCTTCCGTGGAGTTGCAGCAGCAATTGCTTGTTTGTTTGTTTGTTTGTTTGTTTGAATAAAGAGAAATACATTGATACAAAAATGGTCATTTAGTACTGGAAAAAAGTAGAACAGACAGATAGAAACCGTAGGGGGAAAGTGAAGAAGTTGGACCCACCAGTAGCGCGCCCTCCAACCACCCGCGTTGCATTTATGTTAATAAAATAAGCAACGGTAAATATGAGAGCATAGCATGCAATTGATCTCAAAGACAACATTGTGCAAGCAATAAATGTCCTTCCTGCCACACTGGCGTATTATAAGAGAAGGGCAGCTCATGTCACTCGCGGTGTCTGATGATATTATGACACGCCTCTAACTCAAGTGTACCTTAAAAAAAAACCTCTGTTGTACAGAGAGGACCCTTGTATAAAGTAACCCCGTACAACACGCGAGGGTCATGTCTTCACACAACAACCCCCACAAAAAAGAAGTAGAAGCAATTGGAAACTATTTCCCACATCGTGAGTGCATTTATCGCCCAGGCTTTAAGAAAGAAAGAAAGAAAGAAAGAAGGAAAGAAAGAAGGAAGGAAAGAAAGAAGGAAAGAAAGAAAGAAGGAAAGAAAGAAAGAAAGAAAGAAAGAAAGAAAGAAAGAAAGAAAGAAGGAAAGAAAGAAAGAAGGAAAGAAAGAAAGAAAAAAGGAAAAGAAAGAAAGAAAGAAGGAAAAAAGAAGGCAGGAAAGAAAGAAAGAAAAAAAGAAAGAAAGAAAGAGGTGTAAGACGAGCTTGTGCAAGCTAGCTGAAAGACACTGACTGGAAGTAAGATCTTGTACAATCTAGGAGGCCCTCCCCAATAATGTGATGAGAATGCTAAGAGGACATTAAGTCGGCCGGCGTGCCTCGAGTGTTGCCCTTGTCTTCCAGGACACGCAAAATGTCAGTCTGATGACAGGTACAACAACAAATAAAATTGCGAGCACGGGAGGGGGAATGTGCGGGGATAATGCATCGAGAATCTTAAGGGTCCACTGTCTCGCCACTTTCCCCCTAAGTTCATTTTACTTGTTACATGTTCAGCATTATTTGGGGGAATCGAAAGCTGCTTCAACTGTACATTTGGAACGTCTTGTATTTTTGTTTTTGTTTTTGGTAATGTTTTTGTTTTATTTTTAAGGGGTGCTTTTTCTGTTAGTTTGTGTGTGGGGGCGGGGGGGGGTTAGATGGAAAAAGGGGAGGGGGTGCTACTTTGTGATTTGTTTTTTGCTTTGTTTTGTCTGCTCCTGGGTAGGGGTAGAAGGCTGTCTTCCGAGTTGTTACCTGCTTTTATTTTCTTGTAAACAACAAGTGAACAAACCAAAATAATTTTAGAATGTTAAACTGAAGAACTGTCCACTTGTCACTATAAATCTGGATTTGCTGTATTGGTGTTGTTTTTATTGTTCTGGGGGTGTTCTCTTTCTGAAGTTGAGCTTTAATTTTTTTTCGTGAGCTCAGGGCAATCCATGAAGACACTTACAATACAATGCATAATAGCTAGCTAGAGCAGATCAGATGAGTTTTTCGTTAATACTTCACACTACATATGATAATAGTAGTGTCAGGCTAAGAAGGGGAATTGTAAAAATACGCAAGCAAAAGCCCTGGTAGTGAAAACGTCTATCGTCCTTATCTCCCCTTCTTCTTTTTTATGTTTGTTACTCTCTTGTAACACCTCTAATCTTCTGGCACTCATATGACCTTATGCAGTTGCGAGCGCCGTAAAACCCTCTAAAAAAACAAAAAAAGTGAAAACGTACGCCATGAAGACACGTTTTGATTTAAAAGTTTGTCGCGCTACATGGATTAGTCCTTGATAGTACAAAATGTATCTTGGTATAATACATGGAGCTTAGGCAGGTTTCGAGTTTCCCAGACTCCCCTAACACCTCATTTATGAAGGTCACAGCTTGCAGGTCTTGATTTCGGTTTCCGAATACAAAACAGATTAAGAGCACACGAGGGTGGACATATTTATGAGTATAATTGGATTTACTCTGTGTGTACAGTTTTATGTTGGAGATGACCAACTGTCGCAAACCACGGAGTTGTTTGTACAATTAAAAAAAGTAGCAGAAGTTGTTTTTTTCCCCGCTTCCTTGCATCTCGAATTCAAAACGTACTCTTTAGCCTTTATATGTCTATCCGCGGTCCCTCTCTCGCTTCCTCTCTCTTTTTCCTAACTCTCTCTAGCCAACTCTCTCACCTCCTCTCTCCTCCCTTCTCTCTCTCTCTCTCTCTCTCTCTCTCTCTCTCTCTCTCTCTCTCTCTCTCTCTCTCTCTCGTCTGTCTGTCTC